TCTAAGATGGCACCATTGACTCTTGCCTCCAGGTATGTGTGTCCTTATATAAGCCCTTCAGTGGGCATGGCCTGTATAACCAATCGGATACTAAAGAAATTACAGTGTTTTTCTTCCAAGGCAAGGAAATAAGCTATCTGGCTTCCAACTCGCTCTTTCTTGATTCGCCACTTCAAAGACGCCGGCCGCCATGTTGTGAAGACACTCAAGCTGCCCTGTGGGGAGGTCTGTGTGGCAAGTAGCTGAGACCCGCCCCCCACCACCACCACCAAGAGCCAGCCTCCCTTGCTGGCCACATGGATAAATCACCTTGAAGGTGGATTCTCCAGCCCCAGTCAGGCCTTCAAAGAACAACAGGCCAGCTGGCATCTCGACTGCTACTGCATGAAACGCCAGGCCAATGCTTCCAGTTTCTGCCCCACCGAAACCGCATGAGATAATAAACATTAGTTGCTGCTTTAAGTTACTACTTCCAGGATATTTCGTTGCATTGCATTGCTGTATATAATTAATCCAGCCCCTCTCCAAGCCATGGGTTCGTGCTGTAGGGATAGTCTACAACAGGTGGGGAACGTCTGGCCCGCGGGCTATATCAGGCCCGCAAGATCACTTGGTCTGGCCCTGTCAAGGCATTCGGGGTGAGTTAATCAAATGTCTGACCAAATAGAGTAGGCTCATTTTTAAGTGGATCGTTTTATATGGCCCAAGAATAATGCTATAAATATCCAAAGGGCCTTTGGTCCAAGGATGATGTTATAAATACCCAAAAGGCTCCCCGCCCCTGTTCCACAAGGTGGCATAGGAAAGCATCCAGAACAAGCCATTCACCGGAGCGGTGGCCAGAGAGGGCTGAACTTGCGAGGTCAGGAGAGGACCAGTCTCAGCAACAAATCCCCAGTGAGCTGGAGAAGAACTGCGAAATGAGAGACCAAGCAAAGCAGAAATCCTGGCGCCTCCTTCCTAGGAACTTCTCACACACTTCATCCATCTTAGTACGGTAAATGGAACCACGTGCACCCGGTTATTCTGGCCAAAAACCTGAGAGAGATTCTTGAGCCCATTCCCTTTCTCAAACCCAACCTCCCATCCATCAGCCAGGCTCTGGGCTCTACCCCAGAAGGCATCCCAGAACTGTCTCTTCTCACCGTCTCTCCTGTGAGCACCGCGCACTCAGCCACCAGCTCCTCTCACCTGGGCAGCATCCATGGCCTCTTGGCCCATTTCCCAGTGTCTGCCCAAGGCCTGAGTGGCCTCCTTATAGAGGAGATCTTCAGATCATGTCGCTCATGCTCAAAACCCCTCCAGGGCTCACTGGTCTCCACCACATCTTCTTTCAAGCCTGACAAGCTCATCGCACCTCAGGGCCTTTGCACATGCCCTTTTCATCTCTCAGATCACCATGTAACATCAGTTGGGTTCCATCTTGCTCAATACTTCGCCTGAGCTTTCCTGGGCCACCTAAGCCTGAGCCCTCTCTAGCCCACTGCCCTAACTCATTCCCCATGGGGTTTGTCTGCCTATGTACTGCCTGTCTCCCCTGTTAGAATGTCAGTCCCACGAGGGCAAGGGCCTTAGCCGTCCTGTTCACCTACAACAGTGTCTCCGTAAACATTTGCTTACTCCTGTCTCAGGGAGGGGGATGGAGGAGAGGGCCTCCAAACGGCTCTAACACCCAGAGGACAGGGCTCTGTGTGTGCTCTGAGGCTCACCTCACCCTCCTCAGCAAGAGGAAAAGGCAGGGCAGCAGTAAGAGCTGTGGTTTATGGGGAGACTTGCCAGCTGGGAGGGGCTCACAGCACCAGTGGTCCCCTTTGCTGCAGAGGAAAATCCTATAACAAACCCCCATCTGTCTGTCCAGCCCCTGCCCTGCCAGTCCACCTCGCTCCTCTGGTTGGCGTTGGCTGGGCAGAGCAGTGGTGTATCCTGGTGCACCGAGGCCCGAGCGTGTGCCAGAATTGCTAGGCAGGCCACATCCCAGCCCAGAAGTCACCTTTAGCACCCACCCCTCTGTCTCCAACAGGAGGGGGCTGTGCAACAAGAGGCTAACTCTGGGGGAGGGAGGGTATGTATGGGAGGGGGAGGGCATTGGTATATGTACAGAAATAATAATTTAATTTTTAAAAAATGTAAAAAAAAAAAAAAGAGAGAGAGAGAGAGGCTAGCTCTGTCACACCTCTCCGGGTCTCTGGGCCCCATCGGGGGTAATCAGAAGAAAGGGCAGATGTGACTGAGGGATTACACTGCGATGCCTTGGGAAAGCCGTACAACCTTTGGGTGCTCGGCTTCCTATGGGTCTTTCGGCCTGTTACATGCTCTGGCGGAATTAAAAGAATGAAATCAGATAATGCCTTGGAGTGCTTTCTAAGGTCAAGGCGCTGTACAAGATGTCAGTTAGAGAACAAGTACTGCCCAGCTGGTGTGGCTCAGTGGTTGAGCATCGGCCCATGAACTAGGACAGTGGTCGACAAACTCATCAGTCCACAGAGCCAAATATCGACAGTACAATTGAAATTTCCTTGGAGAGCCAAATTTCTTAAACTTAAACTTCTCCTAACGCCACTTCTTCAAAATAGACTTGCCCAGGCCGTGGTGTTTTGTGGAAGAGCCACACTCAAGGGGCCAAAGAACCACAGTTTGCTGACCACAGAACTAGGACATCTCGGGTTCGATGCCCGGTCCGAGCGCATGCCCAGGTTGTAGGCTCTGTCCCCAAAAGGAGGTGTGAGGGAGACAGCCCATCAGTGTCTCTCTCTAATCGATATTTCCATCTCTCTTTCCCGTTCCCTTCCTCTCTTAGTAAAAAAAATAATAATAATAACGATAATAATAATAAAGAGAAACAAGTGCAGGAAGAACAGTAGGGAGGAGGTCTACTGGGGAGAAATCGGGAGGTTCTGGGATGAAGAGTGGAAAATCTCGGCTCCGGATGAAGAGAACAAGGAGGGGTATGGAGAGAGAAGCAGTAACTCAGTCCCCACCGTAGGAAGCGAAAGCAGAGGGAGTCAGAAAGGCGGAAGACAGGGAGGGGCAGGAACCATACAGAGGTGCCCCAGGCCTTGTGCCCCTCTGCTAGGAGAACACTCCAGCCTGGAGCGTACAGCCGGGGAGATGCCCCCGCAGGGCTGTGTGCTCTGCTCGAGCAGGTCCCCAGGAGGAGGTGGGTTCCCCCGCAGACTCCCTGCTCCATCAGCACCCTTCTTCATGGCAACACCTGGCCCTCGGAGCTAACCATGGATAATCACCCACTGCTCCGTTCCTGAGCGCCTCCCCTGTGTCAGGCACTGTGCTGGGCACTTCACCCACATTGTCCCGTCTCATCCGATAATAACCTTTTCTTATTCCTGTGTCTTTGAGGATGAAACAGGCTCAGGAGGTTACATGACTCGCCCAAAGTCACCCAGCTAATAAGAAAGGAAAGAAAAGCAATACTAGGGAGAGGGCAAAGACTGACTGCATCTGAAAGGTGACAGCCAAACACCTCCACCTCCCAGGCTCGGAGGGATTGGGATGGACTGGGAGGGATTGGGATGGACTGGGATGGACTGGGAGGGATTGGGATGGACTGGGATGTACTAGGATGGACTGGGAGGGATTGGGATGGACTGGGATGGACTGGGAGGGATTGGAATGGACTGGGAGGGATTGGGATGGACTGGGATGGATTGGGATGGATTGGGATGGATTGGGACAGACTGGGATGGACTGGGAGGAATTGGGATGGGCTGGGAGGGACTGGGATGGACTGGGAGGGATTGGGATGGACTGGGATGTACTAGGATGGACTGGGAGGGATTGGGATGGACTGGGAGGGATTGGGATGGACTGGGATAGACTGGGGGGGATTGGGATGGACTGGGATGGATTGGGATGGATTGGGACAGACTGGGATGGACTGGGAGGGATTGGGATGGGCTGGGAGGGATTGGGATGGACTGGGATGTACTAGGATGGACTGGGAGGGATTGGGATGGGCTGGGAGGGACTGGGATGGACTGGGAGGGATTGGGATGGACTGGGAGGGATTGGGACAGACTGGGAGGGATTGGGATGGACTGGGATGGATTGGGATGGATTGGGACAGACTGGGATGGGCTGGGAGGGACTGGGATGGACTGGGAGGGACTGGGATGGACTGGGAGGGATTGGGATGGACTGGGATGGACTGGGAGGGATTGGGACAGACTGGGATGGACTGGGAGGGATTGGGATGGGCTGGGACAGACTGGGATGGACTGGGAGGGATTGGGATGGACTGGGATGGACTGGGAGGGATTGGGATGGACTGGGAGGGATTGGGATGGACTGGGAGGGATTGGGATGGATTGGGGTGGATTATTGGGGAAGGCAGTTCCTCCACGAAGCCACCAGCAGCTGCTCCATCACTCCTCTGTCCGGCCTGAGAGGTGGCAGCCCGGGTCCAGCCAGCCCGGCCCCCAGGACCCACCCATTCCTCTGGCCTTCTTTTCCTCTCCCACCGAGATCAGCCAGAAAGCACTGGTGGGGAAACTGAGGACCAGAGTGGGACCGGGTCCATCAAGAGAGGAGGATGGTGCTTCAGGAGGTTCCAGGAACACGGCGACCTTGACCTCCAGCCCCGTCCCGCCTCGTCCTCCCCTCCCCTCCCCTCCCTCTCCCTTTGGTCACTGCGACCCCCTCCCGCGTTTCCCTGAGCGGCCGAATCAGGCCGACGGGCCCGCGCCAGAGCAGCATCGAGACGCGTCCCCTCCCCGCGGCGCCCCCACCCTCCGGCACCGGGAGAAACACCCCCAAAGGCCCCGCTCCCGCCGGCCCGTCCCCGCCCGCCGCCTCCGGGAGCCCCATCCCATCGCCCGGCCCCCGCCCAGGCCGCCGCCTTCACCTTGACCTGAACCCGCTGGCGCCCCAGCTGGGCATAAACAAAGGCAAGAGGAAGGGGCGTCCGGGCCCCCTCCCCCCGGAGCCCCCTCCCCAGCCCGGGCCCCCAGCCCGCCCGCCCCGGGCCCCGCGGCCCGGCCCCTTACCTTCGCCTGGCATTTCCGATGACAGGAGAAGCTGCAGACTGCGAGGGCGAGACACAGAAAGAAAGTTTAGCCGCGAGGTATGAAATGGAAACTCCGGCGCAATCTCCTCCCACCCGCCCGGATCGCGCTCCGAGGGAGGGAGGGAGGGAGGGAAGGAGGGAGGGAGAAAGGAGGGAGAAAGGAGGGAGAAAGGAGGGAGAAAGGAGGGAGAAAGGAGGGAGGGGCGCGGGAGGAGGGGGCCTGCGGGCGGGAACCAGGACTGCGGCCCGGGGCTGGGCAGAGCCTGCCCCGGGCCAGGGCGTGGGAAGATAGGAGGAGCAGGGGGAGGGAGGGGAGGGCACCCAGTCCCCTGCTGGGTCCTGGCTGGGGCCAGAGGTGGCCGGTTCTCAGGCAGGACCCGCGCCAAGGAGTAAGAGGGGCTTCTCCCCTTACACACACCCAGGGCACCCGGAGCCCCCTCACACTCACTCACCGCAGAGGCACACTGACCCAGTCCATGTGCAGAAGAGGGCCCGTGCACACATACGTACACATTCCCCGCCATACACACTCCCTCATAGCCACATACACCATGCTACACCCATGCACGCAGCCGTACAGGCACACACAGCCATACACACGCATACAGCCTCACACACGCAGTGCCCAGTGAGAAACCTCTGCCTGGGGGAGGAGGGGGCAGTGTGTCTGACACACACACAGTTTCATAGCAGACCCTCCGAGTGCAGCAGTCGGACAGACATGTGGACAGATGCTCACCCAGCATGACTTGAAACACACACACACACACACACACACACACACACACAGGACTTGCTCCTCCCTCCTACTACCAGATTCTGGAATCAAATTTCCTCAGGGGTTCCCTCAGCCTGGAATGTCCCCGCCCTGCCCGCCCCACCCCCACGCAGGGGCTTGGGGGTCCCCTCCCACCAGGTCCCACAGACCGGGTGCAGAGTCCTGAGCGGAGCTTCTGTGCTGACGTGGCCTTATCGGCTGCCCAGTGCCTGCGGAGGCAGGTGGGTTGTGGACACTGGCAAGGGGAAGGCAGGAGAGCTGCCCTGACTCCAAATCCTGGACAGCCACAGCCCCTGGCCACAGCCAGCGGTCCAGGCCTCCCCCACCTGAATCTCAGCAGTGCGCAGAAGGAGAGACTGAGGCCCAGAGCTGCCCACAGAGGTTCTAGGGCTCCCTAAACTAAGGCTTCTGGTTTGTCTCTGAGGGTGAGGGTGGGGAAGAGCTGGGAGGCACAGGGGATGGAGGAGACTGGGCTGTGACCTTGGCCCTGGGCCTTACCCTGGGACCACGTTCTCCCAGAGCCTAGTCCTGGCCCCCAGTCCAGGCATGTGACTCAGCCAGTGCTGAGCAAGGCTTTCCTGACCCCACAGCCAGCCAAGCTCAGAGTCTCCTCCACCCCGGCCACGTCAGGACAGAGCCGCCCTGGCCACCCAAGTCAAGTCATGCCCATCTGGCCAGCTTCTCAGTCTCTCTCTCCCCCTCCCCCACTGCCCCAGGTGGCAGCTCCCCTCCAGAAGGTGTTTCCACTCTGACAGCGGCAGCCCCACCCTCTGCGCCTTCTCTTCGGCCCTGGAATGTGGAATGGAGAGCCTCAGGCCATGTGGCCTGAGCTTGGACTCTCCCAGCCAGGCCGGTCCCCCACCTGCCACTGCCTCCAGCCAGAGGAACCTTTCCCCGCCCTCCTCTAAGCAAACCCCAGGCCTCCCAGAGTGAGTGCAGCCCTCCTCTGGAGGCCTCGCTCACTGCCCCCGCCTTCTCATAGGTATCGTCACAGAGGGCACACCTCCCGCCACCACCTTTCCTCCCGGAACGCGGGCTCCTTCACGGGAAGGATCTATCTCTAACGCACACGCACACCCACACGACAGCCTGGCACCCAGCAGGGCAGTGGTTCTCAGCCTTCCTAATGCCGCGACCCTTTCATACAGCTCCTCATGGTGTGGTGGCCCCCAACCATAACGTTACTTTTGTTGCTGCTGTGATTGAACCGTAATGTAAATATCTGATATGCAAGGCGTCTCAGGCAGCCCCTGTGAAAGGTCGTTCGACCCCAAAGGGGTCGGGACCCGCGGGAGGAGAGCCGCTGCAGCAGAGGCGTGGATGCTGGCTGAGCTGGACCCGACTGCAGAGCTGCCCTGAGTTCATGTGCGCCCTCTGAATCATGCCCACAGCCACACTTCTTTCCTGAGCCACAACCTCCCCCCCCCCCGCCCCCAGCATCTTACACTCAAGCACAGAGGCATCCCTCAGTGTCCGCTCTGGGCTCCCAACCCCAGCTCAGCCACAAGGAGCACAGGGGGAGCCAGGCCTCCCTCTCCCTCCGCGTCTTCTGAAACTTCCAGGGCGGACACTAAGCTCGCGCCTACCTCAGGGCCTCTGTACGTGCTGTTCCAGCTGCCTGGAATGCTCTCCCTCAGTCCAGCTCCCCATTGTTCACCAAGCCACAGCCTTCTTCTGCTTCTGGAAGCCCCTGAAAGCCATCTGCTTCTCCCCCAAGTGACAGGAGACCTCCCCATTATTCTTTATCAGCAGCACCCTAACCCTTTGTTCCCTGGCACCCTAACCCTTTGTTCCTTGGCACAGCTCACCATCTGAAGTCATCTGGGTAATTTCCATCCACGTAGGTGTAGTGTATCTCCCCACACTAGACTCATGAGGGCAGGAGCATGCCTGTCTCTCTCACACCGTTTCCCGGTACCTAGAACACTGTCTGCCCTGGGCCCACAGCACTACACAGCATCTTTGTGCAAATGAGAGAAAGTCCCGCCCTCTGGTGGGATACACAGCTGGGTACAGTGTCCTTGTGGGGACAGCGAGAAGGTGCTTTTCTGCATTGGGACCAGCTTTGTACCTGGGCTCATGGCTTGGTGAGCAGAGCAGGGGCTGAGTCCAAGAGCTCTCTTGGGTAGATGCCTTTGGCATTGAATGGCCTACGTGACCATACAGGGCAGCCCTGCCTGTCACACGGTGGGCAGACACTCAACAAGTGTCTCATTCAAGGGCAGATGGAGAAAGCATCGGGCCATTGCAGTACAATGGGCCGAGTGCTCCCTGGGTGCTGGAATGCAGAACTTCTCGGAAGTGGGGAGTGAGGAAAGACCTCCCCCTGGCCCCTGCCCAGAAGACAGAAGCTCAGCAAACTTAACTCTAGTGGCAGGTGTGGCCAAACCCTGGAGGACATGTTTTACACCTTCAGACCTAACTGGAGTGGCTCAGTGATTGAGCATTGACCTATGAACCGGAAGGTCACGGTTCAATTTCCAGTCAAGGCACACGCCCAGGTTACAGACTCAATCCTCAGGGTGGAGCATGCAGGAGGCAGCCGGTCAATGATTCTCTCTCCCTCTCTGAAATTAAAAATATATAAGGAGAAGGAGGAGGAGAAGGAGGAGGAGGAAGAGGAGGAGGAGGAGGAGGAGAAGGAGGAGAAGAAGAGGAGGAAGAGGAGGAGGAACCTGTCGTCAGGTCCCCAGGAGACTCTCTTGCCCTGGGCCCCTCTAGGGATGATGCCTTTTCATCTTAGTCACCTCTCTCAGGGCTTTTCCGGGGGGGTGGGGAGGGACACAGCATTTCCTGCTCCAATGGCATCCTCCTGCTGCAGTTGGAAGCTTGGCCCTGCCAATCTGCTGGCTTCTCACTCCCAGCTCAGTGGCACATGCACATGTTACAGAAAGGGAAACTGTGGCAGCCAGCCTCCAGGTGGCCCAGTGTTCTCGCCTCCCGGTATGCACACGCATCTGCAGTCCCCTCCCATGAGGAATAGGGCTGGTTGTGTACCCATTCGGATAGGGGAGAAATGATGATGTGTGACTTCTGAGGTTGTCAGCAGAGGTTGTCCCTGTGAGCTTCAGCTTTGGTCTCCTGGATCACTCACTCTGGAGGAAGCCAATTACATCATGAGGACACTCAAGCGGCTATGTGGTGGACAGCGGAGGCCTCCTGCCACCAGCCAGGGCCAACGTGGCTGGCTTATGACAGCGTCCCCGTAGAAGTGAATTCCCCAGCCCCAGTCAGGCCCTCAGGTATCTGCACCCCAGCTGACATCTTGACTGCAACTTTATGCGACACCCAGGGTCCAAACCACCCACGTAGGTCCCTCATGAATCCCTGACTCTGAGAAACTTGTGAGGCCATATTTTTGTATTCATTTTAAACTGATAAGCTTTGGGGTCATTTATTACACAGCTACAGATACCTAATGCACAAGTTCCCTCAGAAAGCAAGCAGACAAAGGGGATGGTGGGAACTGAGAACAGAGGCCATCTCCTGCGTCCTTCCTTGCGCCCTGGGTGCCCACATGCCCCTTTCTGTAACTCCTTCCCTGTCCTCCCCCTGCCAAGAAATGTGTCATCATGGCCCAGAGAGTAACTCCAAAGAGGCTGCTGAATCTCAACCTTCCTCCCCAGCCACCACTGTACCAGTTCAGACCAATGATCTTCCCTCCAGCCTGCCTCTCTTCGGTCCACAGAATTACAGACCATTCTCAAGTGCAACCCGATCCTGTCACCAGCTAGAAGCCCCTGTCCAGCTCCTCAGCAAATTTACCTGGCCTTGTGTGGTCTGGTCTTGCCTCTATCTCCGGCTGCTGCCCCAAAGAGATCTGTTGCTGCCATACCAAGTTCCCCAGAAGAACGCTAAGTCTGCGAAAAGCAGACTCATAAACATCCTTCAAGGCTCAGTTCAAAAGGTCCTCTCTGGGCAGTCAGGCATTCAAAGATGGTCCCTCCCTGCTCTGTGCTCCCGTACCCCACAGCTCACCCTCCTTGGAAAGCTCTTGACACCTCTGAGGACTAAGTGATCCTTTATGACTTGTTCTCTCTCACATCCAACTGCCGCTCTCAGGAAGGGAGATCCTGTTCAACTCTACAGCTGGAATCCTGCCCCTCCCCCTAGCTCAGGGTCTGACGTACCATGTCAAACTGGAAGGATTCTCTCCAGGCTAACCCCCTGAGACCAGGGCTGACATTGTGGGATGTAGAGGGCCACCTGAGAAGGCACATGGACATCCTTTAAATTGTCA